TCTTCCAACGACGTCACAGATGCAGAAGAATCCTCCACACAGAGCTACAAAGCAGGGGGGGAGAGTGGACTATTAACTTCCGCACACACGCACATAGTCCAGGTCCATTCATTCATCCGCACCAACTTATTCACGTCCCTTATCGGGAGGAACTTAGAGCGCGTTGATCAATCTCACGATCTCGTCCACTGTAAATAGCGCCTGGGATCGCTGCCGTCCGCCGCTCGCCGCCGCTGCGTTCAGTCCGTCCCAAGGAAGTGCTCCTCCACTGCTGTGTGCGTCTTTTATCTTCAGTCCTGCCCGCCCCACGTTCATCAATACCTTGACACACCTGCTCACACCCCGGCATACGCCCCTATATGATACCGCCCTCACCTTAAACACCTTCTCACGCTAATACCCCCGTGTACAACTCCCTATTAGTACCACTACAAGTATAACACCATATACCTCTACTCATCACGGTAGAGACCTGCGCGGGACGGATTTTTCAGTCCCGCTCCTGCCCGCTCCCGCAAGATTCTGTCCCGCTCCCGCAAAAAATATATATAATTTTTTCCCGCTCCCGCCCTACATGAGGCCCCAGATCTCTGGCCGTGTAGCTTCACCTAAGCAGCTACAGAGATCACTTCTTTTACCTGCGTATGTACATGGGATAAAACAGAAGACAATCATGTGTAGTATTGCAACATCTCATTACCTCATATGCTCATGGACATTCTGGGTTGTGATTAGGATTACCTGTATTAGGGTGTCTGCCAAAAATTTCAAACGGGCTCATGTTAACCTATGTTGTTACCTTAGTTATCATATTCAGCAAAACTATTGGTAGTGCCTTTACCCAGTTGAAGCCCATATCATCACTGCATTTTGCCAATTTGTTTTTCAAGGTCCTGTTTTCCATTACTACCGCTCCTCCACTTGCAGGGTGGTATGCACAGTGTTGTCTGAGATCAATGCCCAAACTCTCCATTGTACTGTACATTCCCCCTTTTGACACATGATCTTTTCTGAGCTTAGCATAGTGAGGAAAAAGGTATTCGGGTAGACATGGTTTGTTGTTCAGACCATACCACACCCCATCTCGCACTTTACAACCCATTGTTTTCCACAGCTGCTTCTCCTTTTGTGTTGCTTGAGAATGAAGTGCATGCAAATCTGAAACCACAGGGTTAATTTCCCAGCCATTATCTGTGCACACCATCGTGTGCACTGAAAAAAATGATTTCTGTCCTTAGTAGCTCCAACGCAATAAAATTGAGTTTATTTTATGCATCTATTACAGTACATGATTGTACTAAATAATAACAAGTTATTTCAAAATATATTTACTGCGTTTTGACGAAGCTTATTTAATTTGATTAAAATCAAGTAGAAAAAATAAACTATGGCCATGATTGCGCATGCGTGCATAGTTAATACATTCATCCGTTTTTTGCCCGGGAACAGACTTTTCTGCTGGACAAAGGATTCGTCATCTTTTTCTCCGCACTATCCAGCTAACGTGTTTTGTAAGTGAACTTTTGCAATATTGCAAACCATTTTATCAGTTGTTTTGTTCGGAAGTAATACCATCGTACCGCAGTATTTTTAAACTAGTGCCTAATTTCGTTCTGATGTGCATGCAGTAACCGGTGTATGTTCTGAATGAAAATAAAAGTGGTTATTCTATTGTATTGTATTCTATATAAATGCATTCATATTAATGCACAGAGTAAATTTCATATCTTAACATATATGTACGCAGTGTAGGCGCAGAAACAAAACGCTGTAAAACATTTTACTATAGAAGAAGGGAAACGGCATAAGAAAGTGCAGTGTGGTTAGAGAATGTCAGGTAGCCTTCTCTTTTCCATATAGAAGAGTTAAGCTCATATTTTATATTCTTCATAGGTCAGTACCAGCATGGATCGTTTCAAGCCTGGTCTGGTGTATTCAAAATCTTTTCGGATCCGTCAGTTTCTGGTATGTTTTGTTTAATCTCTCATTTGGCGTAACTCTTTAGTAGTTATCTTTGTAATACAGTCGTCCCTCGCCATTTCACGCTTCGACTTTCGCGGCTTCACTCTATATCGCGATTTTTTCAAATACATTTATTCATTAAAAAGTTGATAGACAGTGGGAATGCAGCCGAATAATAAAGAAATAAAGAATCCTACTTCGCGGAAATTCATTTAACTCGGTACAGTCTGGAACAAATTAACCGCGATAAACGAGGGACGACTGTATATGAAATGGAAGCTTAAATTGGGTTATCTTACGTCCTCTTATTCCCGCTCATTCCCTTTTTGGGACTTAAAATGCCTTAAATTTCCGGGATTTGGTTTTGTTTCATATCATATCGACATTTGATTGTTAAGGTCAGAATACTTTCTGTGTGCGTATTTGCATTATATCGATGTCTCTCTTTGCAACTATATCTGCAGTATCTTGCTTTGCAAAGCAAACTATACTCATCCTAGTTTAAATAAGATTTAGTTGCATGTGGCTACATTTTACTAGCCATATTGCGACTACCCAAACTTACCTTTTGACAGCCATGTCGGCATTTCTGGGTTATTATTAAGGTGTAACAGTACTTGATATATTATCGAACCGTTCCGTATGCCTCCTATAGTTAAGTACGCACTTATCATCAATTAATAAAATTAAGGAATGAAAATATAAGCATTGTAACTGTGAATTTGGTCAGTATTTCTAAAAAATCATCACATATTGTTATATCAAATCTCTTCGAATAAACCAATATATTTGATTCTTTTCTTTTTCCTGCAGATTTTGAGGGAGCACTAATTACAGCTGCTACAAAAAATTATAGTGGTAAGCTAAAACACTTTTGGAGTACTATTTGAATGTTTATAAATTAAGTGTTATATTAGTTGTGATTTTTCATATATTAAAATGCAGGGATGTGGCTGTGTAAGGAGTGCAGTGTATCCGTGTCTAATAGGCATGAGCTATTAAAGCACTTTAGATTGCAGCACAGACATAGTCAGCACTACCCATGTTTATATCTAAGCTGCCCTTGTACTTTTAAAACGTGGAATGCTTTATACATTCATTTAAGCAGAGTCCACCCTAAACAAGATTCACAGGAGCTACTTGAACTGTCAACATTCAGTTGTCACTTGTGCACTTGTAGTGTTCTTTCTACCGAGAGAGATTATTTTGTGCACATTGGCAGTCACTTGAAGAACAATGAAACAGTAAAGTGTACAGTATGTTTGAGGGTTGTCATTTTCAAACAAATGTATATGGTACATTTCATTCCCACAAGAACAGAAAACATAACAAACATGGATTGAAAGATTTTAAGTTTGGTGTGGTTACAACTACACAAGTGCCACACGAATGTTCTCATAATCCAGTGGAAGGTACAAGTGGTCATGCCGACCCTGAAGGTGAAGCCAGCAGCACATGTGTAACCAGTGATATGGATGCAATAGAGAACATGCCCAAATTAATTGAGCAGAATTTTGCTGCAATATTGCTCAAGTTGGAGCATATTGCTCATGTGCCAGGTGCAACACTTGATGAGTTTTTAGAGGAACTGCACTACATGTTTACTTCTGCAACGTTGCCACTCTCTCTCAACATTGTTGAAGACATATTTCAAAACCATAGTGTTACAACTGAGAAGTCAGAGATCAAAGAAATAGCCAAAGCTCTCTCCATTTCTAACCCCTTACTTAAAGTGATAGGAAAAGGTGGTCCTTTAAGTACAGCTTACCTTCGTAAACAGTATTATAAAGCGAGCTTTAATATTGTAGAACCTGTTTAGTTTATGCTTGATGCCAAAGAAAGCCGAAGTTTTCAGTATGTTCCTGTACTAAAATCTTTGCAGCTGGTATTTGCAAATAGAGAGGTGGTGGATATTGTAGTCAAAAACCATCTAGCACAACAGAAAAGTAGGATGACAAGTGAACTGAAAATATACAGGTCTTCTCAGGATGGTGCTTTCTTCCAGGAAAACAGTTTTTTGTCAGGGAATGAATTGAGAATTTGTTTAAGTTTATACATAGATGATTTTGAGGTTTGCAATCCGCTTGGAACTTCTCGTAGGAAACATAAGCTTTGCGCACTATATTGGATTTTGAACAACTTGCCTCCAGGTTCACATTCATCACTGTCTTCCATTTACCTGGCAGTCTTATGTAGATCTGATGATGTAAAAAAATATGGTTATGACACTGTCTTAGACCCTCTTATTCAGGATTTGAAAACTTTGGAGCAAGATGGAGTTTTTGTTCCGTTGCTGGGCCAGTGTCTTAAAGGTACAGTTCAGCTTGTTGTAGCAGATAACCTAGCAGCTCATGGAATAGCTGGGTTTACTGAAAGCTTTTCTGGTGAGTATTTTTGCAGATTCTGCACAGCATCCTGTGCAGAAATCCAGCAAAAAGAGGTAAAAGTGGGAGACTTTAGTGTTAGGACAAAAGAACTCCATGAGTTTCATGTGAAATCAGCTCAGGAACATAAAATAATCTGTTTTGGAGTGAAAAGACAATGCATTTTCACTAAAAGTCTTGCACACTTCAGTGTTCATACAGGTTATCCCCCGGATATTGTTCATGATGTTTTTGAGGGTGTAGTGCCAGTGGAATTAGCACGTTGCTTGGAACTGCTAATCTCAAAAAAGTACTTTAGTCTTGAAAGCCTTAATGAATTAATAGTTTGTTTTAACTACAAATGGTCAGACAAAACAAACAAGCCACATGTGATCCCTCGTACTTTTTCAACAAGAAAAACAATAGGCGGAAATGCCCATGAAAATTGGGCCTTGTTGAGGCTGCTTCCATTTATAATTGGGCATCTGGTGCCAGAGGAAGAAATGGTGTGGCAGCTATTGCTTGACTTGAAAAACATTGTAGAGCTTGTGGTTGCTCCAGCACATTCAGATGAATCAATTGCCTACCTCGAAGGGAAAATTTCTGAGCACAGACAAAGGCTCCTTGAGGTATTCCCTGGTATGAAACTCTTACCAAAACACCATTACTTGGAACACTATCCCAAAATGATCAGAATGTTTGGTCCTCTTGTGGCACACTGGACTCTAAGGTTTGAGGCCAAGCACAGTTTTTTTAAGAATGTTGTACGACATACCAGTTGTTTTAAAAATGTGCCTCTTTCACTAGCAAGTAAACATCAGGTCATGATTTCATATCACCTAAAATCATCTAGATTTCAAAAACCTACCACTGATGTGACAAATGTCTCAACAGTCCCTGTTGATGTTCTGAAGCATGATATAGCCCTGGCTATTACACACAAATTTCCAGATACAACTGAAGTTCATTTCACCAAGTCTGCAATGAGCAAAGGTGTGCAGTTTAGAGAAGGGATGATAGTTCCTTATGGGTCTACAGGAGGACTGCCAGAATTCGCAGAGATTCTGAGAGTTTGTTTTGTACAAGAGAGACTGTTTCTCATAGTGAAGAGGCTTAGTGCGTGGTACTGGGAGCATTTCCATGCCTTTGAGCTGAGGGCAAGTCCAACCAGAGAAACTATATTGGTTGGTATTGATGAACTTGCAGATTATTACCCTTTAGCAGACTATTTAGTTGGACAACTGCGAATGGTGACACTCAAAAGGTACATACTAGTCTAGTTTGTAACATGCAAGCTAAATTGTGGACTATTTATCAGTATTGTAGAAATGACAGTCAAATGTGCCATGCTTATTTTCTCCTTCTCATTAAAGAACTCATTGTTGTGAAATGGCTCCACCGGTGAAGCTTCGAATAATTCTTGGAGAGAACAATTCCCACCGGCTGGTCCTGCCTGGTGGAATACCCGGGTCTGTCATGGAACTGTCTGAAGAAATAATGAGTCAGTGTGGCCTAGAAGAAGACTTCAGGCTTCAATTTATGGATGCCGAATTTGGGAATGAATTTATGAACTTGCAGTCAACATCTGAAATCCAGGACAGGGGTACCATCAAGGTAATTTTTTTGAAGGCTTCCACCAGCTCTGCACTAAGTCAGCTGGACGGCTCTCCACCCCCTCCCTTCTCAGCTGTCGGTTCCTCCCGCTGTCTAGATGACTCTACTTCCACTTCAAGCAGTTTGTGTGACACAGAGATCTTGTCTTCTGCTGAGTCCACCTCCTCATCAAGATCCTCTGTGTGGCCTCTTTCCTTCCCAATTCCCCAGTTCTCTTATGATGCTCAGCTACAGCTGGAGAGGGCAAACACTGCATTTGGAAAAAATGGTGCTTTGTTCAACCCTGATGTTAAATTGAAGTCTACAATTCTTGATAGCTTGGCACAAAAAATTATTGAGTACAAAGTTTACCCCTCTGATGCCGATTTTGAAAATGTAGCAGAAGCTCTTGTATCAAAGCATCCATGTTTGAGAGAACCTGGTTCAGTGAGTGGTCATAGTGGATGGAAGGCAAGTCTAAAGTATAAGCTTGGCAATTACCGCTCAAAGCTCAGANGTAACTCCTGACGGGGACACTCGACGAAGAGTGGATACATGTGATGCTGTTTCTCAAAAGCTTATACAACTAGCTCAAGAATACCTTGCAGAAGAGGGAAATGTAAAGGATCCAGCAACAAGATCAATGCACTGGAGTAAAGCTATTTCATTGTTCACCTCATCAGTATCCCAAGGATCTAAAGGTTCAGGAAGCACATGGTCGGGCTCATGTAGGTTGTCTATGAAAAAACAAGAAGCTGCAGCTGAGTTAGCTGCAACTGAAGCGACTTTAAGGGTTATGGAGGAAATGGATCGTGAAAGAAGCGAGCTTGAAACCCTTGAGGTAGAAAACCAACAAAGGTTAGCAATGCAAGAAGAAGAAAATGCTAGAAGACTAAAGGCATTAGATCAGAAGCGAAGAGAGCTAGAACGGTTAGAAACTGTAAAGAAAATGAATGCAGCCAAAGCACGACTGAAGGTGTATGAGCAAGAAAACAACTCAGATGAAGAAATCTCAGATCTCCTACATGACAATATTAACCAAAGGAAGGCTGCTCCTAAGCCAGGAAGTCTACTTGAACTTCAGCTCACTTCATCACAACCTACTGCAATACGGCAACAGTTTTCTGCTACTCAACATACCACAAGGTCGCAACTTACTGCCAATGGCGCTCAAGAAGATAGCACCATAGTATTGGCTAGAGCGTTAGCAGACTCCATTAACATAAGCCGTCTACCAGTACCAGAGCCTGCTGTTTTCAATGGAGACCCTCTCAGGTACAAAGATTGGAAAATGTCCTTTCAGACATTAATAGACAGGAAAGGCATTCCAGTGAATGAAAAGATTTATTATCTGCGCAGATATGTTGGTGGACCAGCAAGAAGAGCTGTCGAGAGTTACTTCTTACTGGGTACGGACGCAGCATACTATGCTGCATGGGACACTCTGGATGAAAGATATGGAAGTTCATTTGTGATCGCCAAGGCCTTTAGAGATAAGCTAACATCATGGCCAAAGATTGGGACAAAGGACAGTGCTGAGTTACGAGAATTCTCTGACTTTCTTAGAGGCTGTGAAGCTGCTATGTTACAAATAAAGAGTCTTGAAGTGCTAAATGATTGCAGCGAAAATCAAAAAATGCTAAGTAAGCTTCCTGATTGGCTCACAGCAAGATGGAATAGGAGGGTTATGGAGGTTGAAGAGCAGCATGGTTCCTTTCCAACATTCAGTAACTTTGTTGACTTCATCACAAGAGAAGCCAAAATAGCGTGCAACCCAGTAACGTCACTCCATGCACTTAAGGGAAGTGACTTAGAGAAGGTTAAGCCATTAAGGATTCAAGGTGTTGGAACTAAAGTGCTGACAAGTGCTGCAGAAGAGAAACCAAATATAAGGAAATGCATCTTCTGTGAAAAATTATATCACAGTATTCACACATGTCGACAGTTCATGGACAAGTCACTAAGGGAACGAGTCAAGTTCGTACAAGTAAGGGGATTATGTTTTGGATGCCTTAACTCTGGACACCAATCAAAGAAATGTGGAAAAAGAAATGTTTGTGAAACATGCAAAGGAAACCATCCAACATGTTTACACGAGGAACGGGATGGAAAAATCGGCAAAAACATAAAGGACACAAAGGAAATCAAACAAGGTAAAGAAGCACCGAACGAGACAATATCCNTGCAACCATGCTGCTTGTTTGGTTAGAAAGAAATCAGGAATTTATTCATGATCTAAATCTAAAAATTGCTACACCTTTGGCAATATTCTTTATAGATTAGTAATTTATATCAAAATGTGTTTTCATCATGTACCTGATCTTTTTGAGTGTAATTACTTTTCTTTGTCTTGGCAGATGGCTACAGAATTCAAGAGAATAACAACTATCAGTTTGCAGTCAAAGTTTTTCTCACGACTTGATTTGCTGTCTGAAAACCTGATGAAGGTGTATGCACAGAAAGGCGGCATTCTTGGGAGAAAAATTCAGAGAATTATGGTACCCGTGACACAGGTATGGTATTGATATAACCTGCTTTAAAGACTAAGGCACAAACTATTGCTTTCGGGCAAGCTTTGAGCCCTGATTTAGCATAACAGCTAATACCTACTATTTCCTGCAGTGTCTAGTGGATTGTGTTAAAAGGGATGAGTTGAGGGTATAGACCTGATGTTCTTCTTTTCTCTGTTTTGCTTTCTTAGAATGACAGTATTGACATCAAGCGAGAATTTGTCTTGAAAGGTCTCTGTTTGTACCTGAATGAAGATCCAGATCAGCTGATCAGGGAATATATGGTATGTTTATTTTCCTTTATTGAGTTAGGAGATTATCAAGTTATGTATGTAAATTGATCATAACTCAACACTGCCACAGTAAAAATGAGATCATAAACATATGTAATATGTTATTCAATTTAGTGAAAAATGACTTTTGGTTTTGGTTTTACCATAGGACACAGATAGACAAAGTGCAGAGAGGGCCATGGAAGATACAGTCCTTGCCATCTTTGTGATCAAACATGAAGGTGCAGAGCCTGGCGATGATCTGGTGGATGTTGGAATAATCGCAGAGGAAGTAGAAGTGCTGGGTCACTTGGGTAGTGTGGCGTTTGCAGTGGCAATGTTGCTTAGTGTCATATATGCTCTGAACCTGAGCTACCCTTCAGAGCTCAAATACACATTTGAAGCTCTGCAGAAGATTTTTATGGAATTAGACGGAAACAAGCTATCTGCCAAAGTACAAGCTTTGAAAACCAAGCTTTTCCGTGGACAACTTCATTGACTTTGATGCCACTGCAAATACATTTTTTCTTCTCTTTTTATTTGATTAACATCCTAAGCTGCATAAATGTTTCATTGCAGATATTGAAATGGATATGTAAGTCATTTAAAAATGTGATTTGTAAATGGATAGAGTCAGCTGTTCTATAAGATGGGGTCTGATTCTAAATCATAGTGGACAATTTTGTACTGAAGTGGCTTTATCCTTAGAAATTTGTCAGCAAAACTATAAGGTTTCCTTTGTGTTTTAAAAGAGACTGAATCCCTGTTTTTGAACATTTGTTTTACAAGGTTCAACACTTTGAAAAAGCGTGCATTTTGTGCATTTTCAAAATGAGAAAATAATTTTCGAAGTTGAATGTTTTAGTACATTAAACATGACAATGTGTTTTATTATGTTGCAGGAAATTGCAAGGTTTATATTTGTTAGTAAACTAAGGTGTTTGTTGAATATTTCATGTGTAAGAGGAAGCAGGTTTCTAAATGCTTTGTATTTTACAAAGTTGCATTCTTAAGCACAACTTAAATGTGCTTTATTATCACTGTATTTCTCAGGAAATTGTAAGGTTTACACTGAATCATTCTGAAAAGGAAACTAATGTCCTGTTTTTCTGGCAAGCTTGGGACTAAAGGTTGTTACAACATGTTTGTTGTGTGCTATCTTTTATACTCTTGACATCCAGCAGGCTGTACAATTTAAATATGATCCAGTGGACAAACTCTATTTAATCCAGTTACCTGTAAATGATCTTTTTGGTAAATTATGAATAACTTACCCATGTAAATCAGTTTGCACCAAATTAACATATTTAAATAACATTGGCTTTACTAAATAATGTGTAACCAACCTGCGTACACAGTTATACCAACTCCAATAAATAAAATGAAATCTACAAATGTAAATCATGTTTAGTTAAATAAAGAAAATTGAATTGGACCAAATCATCGAACTCAGATTCAGTCAACCTTAGTAAATCATTTACAACCAACCCAGGAAAATTAAGTTGGAACAACAAAATTACTTAATGCTGAGAAAAATCTATAAAATCACGTGGAAATACTTTCTATGATTTTTTTAAGTTGATTCAACAACTAATTTTTTTCAGTGTGTATGGGTGGCTGTGCTGCTGCTACCTTGGCTGCCACGTCTGCTGCTGCATTACCTTTGGAAACAAAATCAGTAGTGTCAGTGTGAGCTTCACATTTACATATTGCTAGACATTTAGATAAAAGAATAGCCTGCAATAAATTGGAGATCAATTTGTGGTGCACAATTTGTTTTCCTGCAGATGTAAGAAATCCCCTGTGCTTCCACAGGGCCCCTAAATCATGTGTTTTCTAAAGGCATATCAGCTATCTGTATAAATCGTTTCTGCTCTCCCTTCTGCCAACTTGTATGCCTCCAGTTCCACTGCTTGAGCAGAATAATGACTCAGGAGAGATCCAGATTTCAAAGTTTCATGCATGGAGACAATTGCTAATTCCGCTTTGTTGGTTCCCCGGAGTAGTGCATTATTTTTTTTTTAAATCTGGAAAAATTCTTACTGGTGAGTTTTCAAATGGCACTATTACTCCCGCTTTCAATAATGACTGGAATACTGGCCTGATTCCCTCTATCGCCTCTGGTTTCAGCGGGTATTGCAGTTTGCATAGTCTAATAAGTTTGGCTAGTAAATAACCTCATTTTCTGCCTGCCTATTGTATGCTTCTTTCAGCAGTCACTGTGTAATTTAAATCAGTCACGTAAGTCTTTAGGGAGGGCTGAACTTCGCTGTTGGGTCACGCATATACTCCAAGTCATTCTCATTCATACATCGTCTCACCCATGGGCCCAAATCTTTCCACTCATCCTCTGCACCTTTTGCCAGTGACACATAAGGCGTGCTCCCCCTCACTCTTAGGGCACTTTTCCACCGCACAAGGTACGGTACTTTCGGTACGGTACTTTCGCTTTTCCATTGACTTCCGGTCGAGTACCAGTACCGAAAGTTCCAGTACTGAAAGTGGCAAACCAGCTGGGGTACTTCTTTGGTACTTCGGTACTTTGGGGTGGGACTTAAAAACGTTGCTGTTGATTGGTTATGCAAATAGCCTGCCGCTGAAACACAAAATACACACAGCGAACAGCGAGAAACGAAATAAAAAGCAGTAGAAACAAAAATATTTAAAAATTAAAACGGAAGGATGGACAAACGAGGAAACACAGGCTTTAATCGCCATATGGTTGGATGAACAGATCCAGCGGGATTTGGATGACACGACTCTGAATAAAAAAGTATTTGCTGTAATAGCAAGCTGCTTGGAAGAAATGGGGCACACGCGAAACACCGAACAATGCCGCTTGAAAATCAAAAAACTTAAGTAGGACTACAGGAAAGTGAAGGATCATAATAACATGTTTGAATCCAGTGAAAGAAATACCGCATTGCGCTTTGTGATGATGTCAGTCAGGGACAATCAGTGATGATGTCATTTGGCGCCGGTACCAGTTTTTATGCCAGTGGAAAACCGACACAAAAGAAGTACCACACTTTTGGTACTTTATGGAAGTACCGAAAGTACGGTACCTGGTGCAGTGGAAAAGCACCCTTAGAGTGTAGGGGTGAGACTTTCTCATTTACCTCTGTAGCATCAACACTGAGAGCACTATTACTCCAAAACATAATTTCCAATCTTATCTTATCTGACCTCCATTTATACCATTCCTTCTCATATTGCTCATCTGGACTCCTCTTGGAAAATTGTGAGGTACAGTGCAACCCACTAGGGCTCATATATAGTGCATTTTGTACGCGTGTCTTTGCCTGGTTTAAGTCATATAGATATAGCAGGCATTTGCGTTTCTTCCTGATCCTCCTCCTTTCCCTAATGCTATTATATTTGCAGTGGTCTGCACCATGGTTAGCATTGCCTTGTGGAGCGTGTTGTCCTTCTTGTCCTGTCTTTTCTGCACTCTGTCGCTCAGTAATTTCTCTGCGTAACAGTCCCTCCCTCCTATTGTTTGCAGGAGGAGATCCTACTTATGTTCATTCGCATAGGGAAATCCTCCCTTAGTGGTTCCTGCAGTCTGGCCAGGAATACACGATATTCCACATTGTTCCCATGATCATAATCCGGGTGTTGGGTGGTGACATTGTCCACCTTGCTCCAGACAGTGGATATCTTGGAAAAGTCAAATCCCAAATGTAGTCCAAGTAGTCAGCAGAGTTCATTCTGGTGGGTTTAAATTTCCTGCAGAACTGTCTCCAGTTCTTCTGCAAACCTCACTCCCCCTGTTTGTTGGGGGTCAGTGAAGCTCTGCACTACATGAATGAGGTCACTAGCAGTCCAGTGTTGGTGGACTAACATACGGTCACCATTGGGTCTGCCATTTCAGCCATGCAGGACATCGTGCAGTTGATCACTGTCATCTAGGCACAATGGGCCGTCGGTGCTTTGCAGTCGGGCAATTCTGGAATGTGTATGACTGGACACAGGGGACATCAGGTTAGCTGGGGCACAGGACTGGTCAGCCAGATGTGATGGCAATGCTGTGGGTTGTTGTCCAGTGTCGTATAATGGTCAGGGTCGACAGGTCTCCATGGACAGGAGTCCAGGTCCAGGTCAATCTGGACATTGGAAAGTGTGAGTTTTCCCCCCTCCCCAACTGTCTGCCTTTTCTGTCTCACCTCTGTGCTTCTGCCTCCCAATGTCCAAAGGCAGTCCAGTTCACATTCACCCTATTCTTTTTCTTCCTTTTTCATTATCTCTTTCTATTTGTTGAAGTCTTCTATCAGTCTCAAACTAAACCTAACTCCATTCAGAAAACCACATTCTTTTACCCAAAACAGCAGCTGTTCACATGATTCAACTCCGTAATTAATTCTCATCAAATTTACATTAGGAGATGTCTCGACATCCACGTTTTTTTTGTTTGCTGCCTCCAAATCCCATTTTAGAAATTAAAACTTACTAAGGATCTCCCCGAACTGACTCCCCAGCGACTACCTCTAGTATCTCACTAGAGTACAACATTGTATTCTTTACCAGACACTCGTCAGTGCTGGGCAAGTTTCCTCAAACCTTGCTTAAAAGAAACTGTAAGGCCCCCAGACCCCTGGGTCCCAAACTGTCCAGTAAGTTTCAGTTGTCTTAGCCGATCCAGTTCAGAGAGACATACATAATACAGTCAGACCTCGGACATTCACAAGGTTAGGTTCCAGAACCCGTTGCAGATTAGGAGGATTCGCGGAATTTTGGTAGTCACTAAAAATGGTAATATGTGCTTATTTATATAGTGTAAACCCTAAATATGAGCCCAGTCATGCTCCCAAAACATTTTAATTTCATTTAAATGTTAGCTTAATACATTACCTTTAAAAAGAATGTTTGATGTAAAAATAGAGCACAGTAATATCTAACGGATATTTGTCACAATAGCATATTTACAGTACAGTATACTAATGTTACCCCTATTAATTCATAGAACACAGCATTGGCTGCCGTTTTCTTTTGCATTCACAGTAAGGTAACATGAGTAAACAAACGGGACTGTAAACTTATTGACAGAAGTCATACACATAACTATGGTACAATTCATGTACTGTACGTACAGGGTACAGGTATTCAATCAATTAAAAATTACGTAACGACGTACAGAAATAAGTTGTAAAAGTACTATGTGTGCGCTAACCACGAAAAAGAGAACAAAAATACATACACATAATAAATAATACAAATATTTAATAAAAAACAGTAGTATGGGTACTCACCAATGATGAATATTGATTTAAGATAATGATTATTGTGAATTAGCTGTGCAGTACAGTGAAAATATGAAAATGACTGCATAGCATAAATGAGGAGTTACAGCTCCAATTAAATTTTCATGGATCTGTGAATTCGTGAATCACAAAGTACAAATGCATAAGGGCTGACTGTATGTGTGATGTTTTTCTGACCTCTGCTGTTCCCTGGATCGCAGTGGCCTTAGAACCTGTTCACTATTTACCTCCTGGTCCCAATGCTCATGCGATCCTGCCAACTACGCCAAGTTCTGTGATGCACCAAATAAGCTGGGACACCATGTCTACTGTGGAACTAAAATTGGACATTGGTAGGCCCGGGAGGGGAGGCATATTGGGTCTGTTATGTCTTAGGCCTTAGGCCAGAAGA